TTTAGCAGGCTGTCCTTTGCATTGCAGTTACATACATCTGACTACTTGTCTTCTRTCTCTGCAGTCTGGTAGAGAAAGCAGTACAGTCTGGTGCAGGAGAGTGGTAGCACTGAGCAGTGTGCACGGAGGGGCATGTTTTGTCACTCCTCTTTGTCATGACCCTACAGAATCCAGCCCTATTTGAATTAATGTGCAAAAACAGATTCTGCAAGTGTTCTCAGCTTTCACAGTTTGAGAGTCTCCACTTCAGACTAGCAGGGCGAGAAAGGGTTTGCAAGGCTTGAGCCCACGTGCTTTTCTTGAAGTAGTTTCTGACATACCACCACTTATTTTTGGTACATTCATTTCTTCAGGGACATAAGTAGAGATCTGGGTACTGATCTAAATCTATTTCAAGTGCTCCAAATGACAGATGCAGGTTTGGGCCAGGTGCAAAGCTGACCCTTTGTTGTACCTTTACAACAAGGTTTCTAATATGGTAAAGTCTTATTAGGATATTATCTATTGTCTTAGTGATTGTCGTACACATGAACACAGCTTAAACCTCTTGGCCTAAATATATCAGGAGTGTATATTTCTCTACAAAATAAATGTATGGTAAATGATGCTTGATACGTAACAACAGGGACAGGACCCTGAGTGGGATGCTGAGATTCTCTTAAAAAATTATTTGATTGAAACAAACACTTGATTAAGCAATTTTTTTCTCAGCTTATGATAAAATGCAGTCCTTCAGTTATTTTTAATTTTGCTGGCTTTGTTTAAATGTTGCTGAACATACTTGCAGGTTTCTTTTTTTAAGGAAATTGTAAGTAGTAGAAAGTGGATACTAGCTTAGAACAGCAAAATATAGGTGCATGATAGTTTTTCTATTTGAGCTTGCAGTTGTGAATGTAAACCCATTGAAACAGTCCTTGAAGAAAGAAATTCTGGTGAATTTTGTATAATTTATTCAGGTACTAGCTTAATATAAATAACCTTCTAATGAGCCTGGTGACACTGGTATCTTTTTATTGCTGAGCATTTGATGCTTTGCCTTCCAAAACCCTTGGTCGTCCTGTTCATTGCCCCTATCATCCTGCTATGTGGAATTTTTCCATCAGGAAGCAAGAGGTGGATGGGTCAGACTTCACCCAGGGTTACAAAGGGAATGTGCATGGAGAAAAGTGTTTTATTCTAGCTGAGAGATCTACCTCCAACATCTGTAGAAATGAGTTAATCCTCATAGGCATCTGGAGTAGCAGCAGCTCTCAAGCTTCTCTTGCGTGTGACATCATTTTCAGGTCAGCGATTTTATGCAATCCTCAAAATTAGCAGAAAATGTAAGTTGAATAATTCCTTTGGATTCTCCTCCTCCTAACTTGGGATCATGGCTCTTAATTTAGGCAATGATGGTGCTGCTCCTTGCCCGAGCCTCAGAACTATTGCACCATGTTATTTATACGCCAAGAGATAAGTTTTGTGATAGCTAGTGCATGGGGTGCAGAGCTAGAAGCATAACTTGTTCTTTTGCTTAGCACAGCTGTGCGTTTCACTTCATGGGCATAATCAGCAGACAAATGGCTTTCCTTTGAAATCATACTTAAAAAGAAAGCAAGCGTCCTAAACACATGCGGGGCTAATTAGCTTCTGTGTTAAAGTTTACTTTTGGAATTTTAACTATTTGGTAGCTTCTCCTAAATGTCCTGGCTTCCTTCTTTACTATCTGTACCGGGGTGTGTAAGTCATGGCAAAACACTAAGGCTGCTCAAGAGTCAGCCTGGAAGATGAGGGCAGTGTTAAGAGCAGGGATGCTCCAGTAATTTGATTGCTCCCTCCAATGTGTGCCAGGCTTTGCATGAGGTATGTGGAGATTCTTTCCAATCCAGGGCAGTGTGTATAATAGTCTTSCTCATGTTTATCCTGCCAGAACAACTCAGAGGGACTGGATCAGTCCTGAGTGGTTTGCTTGTGCGCTACAGGGTACATTGGTGTTATTGAACAGAAACTTAGATTGCGCCGGGGAAAAATAAAGCTCCATATTAAGCACTTCCAAGTTTGTAATTTGTTCCTAGCAGAAGTGTAGGAAGGCTTGTGAGGGCTTGTGCATGGGGAAGGCTGGCAGGAGACTGGGTGCTGATAAGAAATTTAAAGCTAGATTGTGCTCGAGTGCACTCAGCAGAACAGTGTTCTCAAAATGAATGTGTTTGTTCTGAGGCACCAGCCCCGTTGGGACTTGAGATGCTTCTCGTGCTCCTCTGAAAGGTTGCTTAGCTGTCATTCTCTATGCAGTGTGATAGAGTGGTGCACTAAAGAGCAATAATCCAACAATTTCTAGAAAAAAAAGTCTGTCAGAGCATTACTGAATTCAGACTGCTGCTTGCTAAAGTATTACTGAGATCATGAGCTGGTATTTGGACCAGGTTACTGTATTATGGTCACAACTGGAATGTGCTGTTTTGGAATTAATGCTACAGAGACCAAGAGTAATACACAATGTGGGGCCCAAAATAGCACTGTCCCTTCAACAAGTTGAAAGCCTGAGAGGCCAGAATGGATAGTATCCAGATACTATCTCTGGAGGATCTATCTCTATTAGATTAGATATCTCTATTAGATAGATCCTCCAGAGGGCTGTGCTGCCATTTGAGGGGAACTAGAGAGCTTGGAGAGTTGGACAGAGAGAAACCTCCTGAGGTTCAACAAGGCCARGTGCAGGGTCCTGCAGCTGGGCAGGAATAACCCCAGGCATCAGTACAGATTAGGGATTGACCTGCTGGAAAGGGACCTGGGAGTCCTGGTGGACAACAAGTTAACAGTGAGCCAGTTACGGGATCCTGGCTGCATCAGGAGGATGTTGCCAGCAGCTCAAGGGAGGGGATCCTGCCCCTCTGCTCAGCTCTGGTGAGGCCGCACCTGGAGTATTGGGGGCAGTTCTGGGCTCCCCAGGACAAGAGGGACATGGAGCTTCTGGAGAGGGTCCAGCGGAGAGCGCCAAAGATGATTAAGGGAATGGAGCGTCTCTCATATGGGGAGAGACTAAGGGAGCTGGGCCTGTTAAGCCTGGAGAAGAGAAGGCTGAGAAGGGATTTGATTAATGTGTATAAATACTTGATTGGAGAATGTAGGGAGGAAGGCGCCARACTCTTCTCAGTGGTGGCCAGTGATAGGACAAGGGGCAATGGGTATAAGTTGGAACACATGAAGTTYCATCTGCATGTGAGGAAGAATTTCACTGTGAGGATGACAGAGCCCTGGCACAGGCTGCCCGGGGAAGCTGTGGAGTCTCCTTCTCTGGAGATCTTCCAAACCCGCCTGGCTGCCACCCTGTGCCCYGTGCTCTGGGTGTCCCTGCTGGAGCAGGGGGTTGGACTGGGTGATCTCTAGAGGTCCCTTCCAACCTTAACCATTCTGTGATACTAGGTTTTTCATCTAGAAGAAAATTAGGCTTTTCTCTCCTTCAATTGATAAATATCTRAGAATAGAGTAGGTATTCTAATAGAATTACTTTTTACCTAGTTGCAAATTGTAAGCTGGGTAGAAAYAAGTTTCTAAAACCAGACTAGGCAAAAATACTAATCTTATTTAAGCAACAGGCAAAGTGAAATTAGACTAGGGTATCTTGAAATTTCTTCAACTACCCATCCTAGATATTGATGGGTCATGCCCCTGAGCTGAATGAATTACAGCTGGCTTAGAAACAATGGTTTTTGATGTTAATATGCATATTTTCTCAAATGAAAATATATGTATGTGTATGTATGTGCATGTCTAGCAATTACTAGCAATACTTAAATAATTTGGTTTAGGAAGACAAGAATCTTTTTTTTCTCTGCATCTTTCACTGATGTGAGCCCTAGCATTGTCAGGGCTCAGAGTCGATCTAATGGAAACCTCAGCACATAGTTCAAAGTTCGCTGACTTTGTGCATGTGAGTAATCCTTCAACATCAATAGGGCCAGCTGAAGAAATGCTGAAGAAATGCAAGCCTTCAGATTCAGTTTGGAAAATACAAGCTTTGCACTCCACCAGGGACCTGGTGGGAAGGTGGGCTGTCTGCTGTATTTCACCTTTTTGGCTTTTGAGACCAAAAAGRACAAAGTGAGATCTGAGTCACTCTCACTATAAGCTGCAGCAGCTTTAAGGTTAAACTGATTAGRGTGGAAACATAACACGGAGCCTGACAAACCCCGAGCAGTCATTGCAGCCGCTCAGCAGTTTCTAAATCAAATCACCGAAGAGCTGCCCTGGGTGATGGTTCCTGTTACATAACAGCCACGTCTCCGGGATTTCAGAGCAGCCACAAGCAGCATGCCCGTTACATAACGGATCCACGTTGCTCTAATCTGCTTCCCTGCCCGTGACCCTTGGCAGCTGGGAATAGCCCGTGGGTGGAAAGGAGCTGCCTGTGATCTCCCACAGGGCTGCCTGGACGCTGTGGAGCRGAGATCCCCTGGTCTCAGGCTCTCCTGCCAGGCACACTTGCTGGTTTGGCAGGTTCTCTTTTGCCTGCCAAGATAGAGCAAAGAGGGGTTGAAGCAGAAATCCTCTCCTTAAAAAGCTGTCTTTCCCCTTATGGGCAGAGCTTGATCTTCCACCTTTCCTTTTGGCTTCTGAAAYGTCAGCCTGCACTCTGGTTCTCAGCTTGAAACTGAGATCATCTCATGACTTTGGCTTTGCATTTACATTTGCACCGATGTTTGTTTAATCAAGGGTCTGACCTGACCTTCAGTCCATTTTTTAAAGGCTGCTGAAGCAGACACTCCCAAGCCTTTTTTCCTTCCCTGTGGGACAAGGCTGCAGCCTGATGTCTCTGTCTGCCTTGGTGGGGTAGCTGTTTGGGGGAAGAGCTACAACCAGGCACCAACCTGAATTTAGGGGCCTCATCTGTCCTCATCAATGGGACAYCAAGGCTCTGCTGTCCTCTGGCTGCATGTGCTGAGCATGAAGGAGATGAACCAGTGCTATGCAGCATATGGGACCGTGGATCAGAAGGGAGAAGTTAGCTCCATGTGCATCAGACTTGGTGCCTATGCAGTAGGTTGACTCTTCACTCTGTAACCTGTTGTGTTGATCTGTTTTATTTATTTATTTATTTATTTTTAAGTGTGTAAAAGCGTGGAATAGCATTCAAACACCTGCCTGCTCCAGTCTTCAATTCAGTTCCTGGTCTAGCTTCACCATAGGAGAGCACTTCTCTGCTCTAATAGCATTGACTGCCTCCAGTGTAATCAGAAGCTTTTGAAGAATGAGACAATTAAAAAAAAATGTGGGATTGTTTGGGGGGAAGCACTGAGGTAAATGTGCACAGAGACCTACCTAATTAAAACCACAGGGAAATGGAGATGGTGGCTAATGAAGCTGAACATACAACTTAATTTAATTGAGTTATTTGGAAAGAAGTAACCTGCCTTGCTGGGGAATGGAAGGTGGTGGTGATGAGGAAAACAGCTAAAACTTATCCAGATTTTTTTTATTAAAACATAAATTTCATTGAAATTACTGAAAGTTGTGCTGCTGATTTCCTTGGGTTCTAGATTTTGCCACAGTTCTCTGAAGTTTATCACAGATGGCGACCATGAATTGAATGCCACTAGAACACATTTGGAAGAGTGCTATTTGATTAAATCTCTTACCTAAAATCCAATTTATATCTTCATCTTTGAATATATTCTATCAATTTTCAGTGCTTTTCTCCACATGAGATCTTTACCCCAATAGAGAAAAAATGATGGTCATGTGGGTTTACTGGGCAGCTTTTCTCCTCAGCTGTCCTTCTACCTTTCTGTTTCTGTGCCTCTTCCTTCTGTCAGACTCAGTCTCTCCTGTTACTTCCCAACTGCTCTACTTGCTCCACAGTTGCATCCCACTTCTTATTTGCAACTAATTTCTCAATCTCATTCATTTTTCTTTTCATAATACAAACATCACTGTCATAACTGATTTCTGTCCATGGTATTCTTAATATTCTAATCTCATGATCTGGTCATAGCCCTGCTCTAGGAGTTCCTCTRCTCTAGTTTCATCTTCGGTTCTGTAGTTTGTCTGTATCTTCTTGTATTACTAGTACAGACAAGAGATTTGGTAAGAACAGTCCTCCCTCTTTTGGATACTATAATTTGTTCTCCTCTTCATAATGTTTCTTGCCAGTGATTGCTTTTTCTTCCTCTCTTTTAAGGAGGACTTGTTCTGTGTGTTTTCTGGAGGATCTTCCTCACCCTTTTCTTCCTTCCCTCAGAATTTTCYCTGGGTGATCTTACTGTGAACAAATTGAGCTATATTTCTGAACAGCAATAAACTACTCTAATTCCCTCAAAATATAGCATAAGCAGAAGGTGTTAAATAGCTGACTACCTTAATATCTATGAATAAATTAAAACCTGACTAGATTTAATCTTGCCTTCTCACTCATGTACATAACTTTGCTTTGAACACTGACTTACTCTAAAGATCCTTTAGAGAAGGAAGAACAGAAAGTATGGATTTTCTGCTTCACAAAGCTTTGTATCCTCTTTCTCTACCAGTTTTGCATTGAGAAGTGGTGCATTGCTTCATTTCAGTCACTTTGAACAAGGACGAACTCACCGGAGCTAATGACAGGAAATTGAGACAGGACCATAATCAGAAGCACAGGATGTTTGATCTTCAGCACAGTGTTTACAAAAGATTTGGTGGTGTCTGACCTTGTTAACCTACTCTGATTCTAATGAATCTTTTATTTATTTTCTTTTTTTAAAAGGTTTCCACCTTGGGATTGTCTTCTAGGGCCAACTTCCACCAATGGAAGTAAAATTTGTTTTTCCAGCACTCTGGGTAAGTTTGCACCCTGTCTTTCATGTTATTGATGTATGATTTGATCTTACTGTATTTGCTACCAAAGAACTTATTTGCAAATAACCTTTCATTTTTATACCAGTACTATTCTAGACAACAAAAAATGCCCTCCAATGTTTCTATAAGCAATGCAGGAAAAAGTCTTAAAAGCAGACAGTGACTCCTGTATTTCAATTTTGAAATTCCTTTTTTCAATTCTGTCTGGTAGGTACAGTGCGTATTGAATATGTATGGTATATTGTTTGATATGAATATCAAAACTGAATCTCTTTACTTCCTTTATGTTGTACTTAGTCTTTCCCTGGAATATCAAGRGAGTTTGAGATCTATCACAATATTTGATTATGGTCTCCTTTGCTTGGGGTGGAGGGGAGAGTATAGTTCCCCTATGGGTCAGGAGATGACTGTATGGCCCCTGGTAAAACCATGCTATGGTGGAACAAGGCTGTGTGCAGTGTTGTGAACAGTAACAGTGCCTGCTGAAGCTTCTAGGAGGTCAGTAGTGGTGATGACAGCAGTGTTGACAAGCCGTGGAGCAGTATTTGCCTGGATGAGGGCCACCAGCTCTGTCRTTCATAGCACCTACCAGTAATGTGCTGAACATGGTCCCAAAGCCTCAAATGACTCAAGAAAATGGAGCTGGCGCAGCAAAGCTGTGGTGGGAGGCTGCTCTCAGGGCTTCCCCCAGACCTGTGCCAGCTGTGTTCAGGGTGGCAAGGGCAACCACAGGCTGCACCTTTCCTGCTTCCCTCCTTTCCCAGCCTCCAGGGAGGCTGTCTGGATGTCCCTGGCATGGCTCCATGCAGAGGTAACTCCAGGCCTGCAGAACAAGTGTTGAGCCCTGAGTCAAGCCTTGAGACAGTGTATTCTGCTGTGGTCCGACTTGCATCGTGCCCAGTTTTGTGGCAAGCTCTGACTTCCCCGTGCCTCAATGGGGGATTTGAAAGGGCTTGACCAAATTTCTGCTCATTATGTCCTACTCTGAGTAACGTGAACAGTGGACTGAGAAACAGTGTATGCCTAGTGCATGCCTCCTCACTTCTCCTGGGACTAGTTTTGATCCTGTCCCCTGAAGTGCCTGACTGGAGAAGATCTAGTGATGCCCAGTCCAGACTGAGGGTCTCTGGCATGGCTTGGAGCCACCTGAAGCAGACATCCTATCAGTGCTAAGGACTTTGTTTGTGTGGACAGATGCCTTTGGCAGAGCTCTACCATAGGCTCTTACAGGAGTTTGGGGAGAAAAGTCCCACCTCTACCTCAGTCAAAAACTGTTTATCTGACAACAGAAGCACTCAGATGTATTTGGCTTTTATATGGGTGATTGAATGGATCTGTTACTGTCTTCTGGGCGGCAAATATATTCTAGTTACAATCCTGCAGCAGTCAGGTGGCTGAAAGCTACAGAGGGAAATGTCATATTTATGGATGTATGGATTGCTCCCGCAATCTTTCGTTGGCTATTCAGGGAAGGAAGACCTAGCATAGCACTCTTTTGTCCAGGGGAATCATGTGCAGGACYGAGTCATGCAAAGGATGTACTTAAGTGCCCGCTACTGCCTTCTATGGATTTTCCACATACAAATGACTTCTGGTTTAAAGGCAGTTATAACTGTCTGCCCCTTTATTTAGTGAGGTTGTAACTCAGCTAGGGAAGGTAGGGCTGTATGACTTYGTGGAAGACTTGCTTTTTAGACTTGTAAAGAGACTCTGGAGCACAAAAAAGAGTGATTCTGTTTAGCTGTCCCAATGCTGTGAACTGGACTATATCCTAGATGGGACCTGGAACAGCGAATTTCTCTATAGAGCTGAAAGAAGGCACAAATAACTTGATATATGAAAAATATTGAAGAATCCTTCTGAGTGTTTATTGTTTTATAATGCATATACATGTACATAAATATGCATCTGTGAATTTCCCAGTTTGGCTCAGGACACTCTTGTCCACAGTTATGAAACTGTGTCAATATTCAGAAAACGTAATTTTACAGTTAACTCTGATTTGGTATTCTCCAATCATTTAAATCAGATAAGACTATCAGAGGAAAAAGCAGAGGAAGTAATTTTTCAGTAATCTTCTCGAAAACATAACATAAAAACTTCTCATTTCATTAAGTATGCTGATCTATTATTATATTATTTTGCTATGTTATCTATTTTTTGATTAACTGTTCACTGTTCTCAGGTTGTGTGTGAACTAATGTATCAATGATATTTCAATTAAGGCATRTGAAAAATGAAGTTTGAGGTGTTTGATTTCTTAAGCATGGAATGACTAGAAATCAAAGGCCATCAGCTGAAAAAGCTTTGGGAGTCTTTAAGCTAAGTTTACCATATATAATGAGATCATGAATATTCAGCTTTTGAGAAGGTGTGGAGAAAAAAACCCCACAAACTTGGGCTAAATCAGTCAACTTTTAAAGTAGAAATCTATGCCAGGAATAGATGTCAAATAGAGTAAGAAACATAGGCAACTATCTTGGGATGTGAGTGGTTGCTGCAAAGCTGGGAAAGTAGATGTTTCCTTGCCTGTTTCAGAGCTGTCTGCAAGAACTGGGTATCTTGTTTCAAACAGTCAGAACTGAATGTGTTTAGAAGAGACAGACTTTCATTTTTATGGTGCAGATCATATAGAAAAGTAAGGGAATATGAAGTCCATTTTTTCATGTATAGACAGGAGGATGGCCATGTTCAAGTTACGTTTATGTTAAGTTGTATATATTACTGTCATAGCTTTACCTGACTGGAGAGGCTCTGTTATGTCACCGAAAAATACTGTTTTGATGGCATTATTTAAAAAATGTCTCTGAAGGAATAGATCAAAGTGGTCYACATGGAAAGAGCTGGATCAAGTGTTCAAAATTGTTCTCTATTCTTATGAAAATAGCTAGTAAAATGGCTCAAAGATATATTATTTTACTACTCTAATTTCTCATCTTAGATTAAAGGAAGCAGTGTGACAATTTTTAAAGGCACTCAGTTATTTAACACTGGATTAAAGTTGAAATCTCATAGAAAGTCTCCAGACATATCATGCTGCATCAGATGGATTAAGCATGATTCAGCTTATTGCATTAAATTCCAGAGGGATTAATAATGTTTGGGTCATTGTTTCCTAGACTTAGAAATTTATATAAAACCAGAGAGGACCACATGAATATCTATTGATATTGCTCAGGGCAGAGCAAAGCAGCACAGGGTATATCAGCACTAGTCCTTTAGTTTCTACTCAGAATATTTTCCTGAAAAAGACCTGAATTTGATACCTGAAAAGACCTATTGATACCTGCAAAAGGTATCAATATAAAGATTATTAGTAACAGAGACTCTATAATGTCACAGGTAAACTGCATAAGTAATGGCCCTTGTCTTGGGCAGTCCGTGGCTCCATCTTCACTTCCAAATGCTCCCAGCATTTCCATTGGCAAAGTATCTGGTGTTTAAGATGCTGATTATCTACTCACTTATTAAATACATTCACTGTGACTTATGCTCATGAAATATGGGGAATCTTTTACATTGGGATGTCATGTATAGCATGGCTTTAATTTGATGTATATAATGTGAAATTAGGACTAAAGTATGCCATATCAGTKCAGTAACCATTATCAAATGGTGTTGTAACTGCATACAAATGATCAGATTTACGTGGCCAGGCCTATTTTTCATAATGCTGTGTTGATTGGCATTAATTATGCTACTGTCTTTCAAAGCCTTATTGATTGTGTCCCATTGTAACCTTTCCCTGATGTTGCTTACTACTGATGTCAATCTAACTATCCCATTGTTGCCTAGGTCATCACACTTACCCTTTTAATATTGATCCGACATTAACTTTTTGTAGTTATCAGGAACTTCCCTAGCATTTGTATTTTTGTTACAAGCTGGTGTTAGCAATTCGGGACAGATTACTGATGCATCTGCTTTCTGCTCTTGAGTCCAGGGTTTTTAACTCGGAGTTTATTTAAAGTTTCCCCTATTACTGATGACATAGAAGCTATTTTGTTATCACTCTGACATGYGAGTATAGCATCTTGCATTTTTCTGAATACAGAATTGCAGTAATTTTCAAATCTACTGGCATTTTCTATATWATGTTTGGTTTTTATCTACCGTAGCTAATTACTGAAGTTGTATCTTCGCCTTGGCATTCCCATATTCTTGCTGTATTTGGGAAGGTGCTCCTATTGCAATTGTAATAAGCCTTACCACAGACTTTTTCAATTTTTTATTTTTTATTTTTTTTATTTTTGGCCCATTGCTTGCTTGCATTTCTGCAGTGTTAATTTGTATTCATTGCTACCAGTGTCTTCATTTTCCATCTGTTATATACTGTGCGTTTGCTTTGCAGGTTTCTCTGCTGCTGTTACTGTCCTTCTTAGCCAGGATTTTTTAACAAGGAAAAGCATCTTTTCATTACTGTAGCAAACTGATTTTCTTTGGCATGTAATAAAACATCTTAAGCAGATCCTTTTTAATACATTTTTGTATGTTACTGGCTCTTCCTGATCAGTTTTGCTTGTGAATGTTTTCATCTTTAAGAAATTGTTTTCTCTAAAATATTTGAAAAGACAAATAATGCTACTTAAGACTGTATTTTGTTTGTCCATTGCAAAATAAATAAGAGCATTACCCTTTGCCCATAGTCAATCATAGTATTTTAATTAAATGGTTCATCTGCATCCAGTAGAATGAGGTCAAATATAGAATTAGCTAGCGCAGACTTTGCTACTTTTGTGTTTAAAAAGACGAAAACTTCTAGAATTTCCCAAGGTGTCTTAATGATTGTGTTGCTTTCTGAACAGCTTTCTGCCAGAATAAAATTGTCTGGCATTTTTTTTCTAAGGATAAGTGTCAGAACACTTTATTGGCTTTTCTCCTCACTTTATGGATTTCTGCCTGACCTCAGCCACTGTCTCATCTTGTGACTCGCAAATATTCCAGATTTTGCTTTTCTCTTTGTATGTACTGATGTTCATGGC